TTTGAAAACCTTTGAGTGTATTATTCTTATTGTGTGTTTTAAGCCTAGTTAAGAGACAATCATCAGAAGCTTTTTTCAAACATCTTCTAGGCAAAATCCTATAAATCTAGAGGTGAAATTTTGTCAAACTATTATAAGAAGCGAATCTTGTCAAACTAGTGTAAAAGGCGCAACCTGATTCTAGTAGAACTTCAAGGTGGTTACCTTGAAAAGTGGATGTAGGAAGCTTGCGGATATAGCTCTGAACCACTATAAATCTCTGAGCATTTCTCTCTCTTAACTCATTTATTATTCCTTACATATTTACCTTGACATCATTATTATTTGCTTTCATTCATTGCTCACATTTATTACTCTCTCATTTATTGCTCACCATTGTTTATCTTCATTGTTCATAATCATACTCATTATTGCTTATCATTGTTGTCATTTTATGTTCTTAATGGGTGTGGTTGGTGAAAGTTTTTTATTCTGCAATTATTTTATAGATCTTATTCACCGCCCTCTAGGAATAGTTTGCCATATAGGGTTTTATATATCTCCATTATCTTTACCAAGAACCCATTAAACAAAAACACTGCAACCATTTTACCTAACAAATGATGCGCTTAAATGACGCATTTTTCCTATAACGGTCACCTTAATGTGTGTGACCAACAACGATTTTATGTGTCGTTGTTGACTCAAAATGACACGTTTTTGGATAAACGACAAGTATTTTTGCGTAGCTTTAAATCGATTTTGGTAGTAATAACTAGTTAAATATCTAAAATAACATCATTATTAAAACTTAAACTTATATTTATGCCACATTATTGGTATACATATGCTTGTATGAATTTGAAGTTTGTGAGAGGAAAACATGTTGAAAACACAACCAAAAACACAAAATAAGAAAAATATAAAAGTAAAGAGAAACACAATTTACCCTGATTCGTTCCAATAGGAATTACGTCTAGCATTCAAATAGAGGATTTTTATTGAGTATCAGAAATTTGCAGCAAATACAAGTAGATGATGGCAGTTCACTCTCATTCCCTATTTTTTTTCACACTCCAGGTTTCTCACTATTTAGAATATATATAATAGAAAATCTAACCCATTGGGCTTACCTTGACCCAGACCCAAATATTAGTAAACCAATTCTAAACCCAATTACTATTGGGCTTACTGTGACCTCACTTGGGAACGGGACCCCCGAATGAGTAGTCATAAGTCGATAATCTGTCAAAGCTAAGAGAAGTATAAACCATGTCCAACAAAATCAGCTGCCACTAGACCTGACAAACAGGCGGGTCGGGTAGTTTGGGTAACGATTAAACAGTTACAGGTAGTCGGGTAAAATTTTGGGGAACGTAAAAAATATGCATGACCCGTACCCACTCGTACAGGTACGGTGGACCCCGGTTACTCGCAAAAAAGGATTTTTTAAAAAGTTTGCTTTTCCAATTTTTGTTATTCATTTCAACTTAAAATGTATTTGGTTTTTAATGAAAACTTGGTATAAAATTCCTTTATAAGCTTTCAAAACTTGGGTTAATTATTATAATTTCACCAAACATCATTATCAACATTGTTCATTCAACAATCAACATACATATTATTATATTAATTACTAAACAACTAAATACAATACAATTTCATCATCAAATTGATTTCACCAAACTTGAAGCACATATCAAAACAATAACCCAAAATTCTATTACTTCAATTCAAATACTTTAAGATTTAACAAACATAGTAAGCAAACTTCATGATATTACTTCAAAAATAAAGACAATTGTTCAAGCAAGATGAATTCTATTACACAATGGCTGTGTTAGAAGACTCCCTCGATTCCCTAATCGCTGCTTGGGTTATGGCACAAGAAGCTGATCATCATCATTTTCATCTTCTACAATTAACAAAATTTAAAACATTTGAAATATAAGTTAACTATCTTAATTATTCACAAACTAAAATAATAAAACATGTGAAATATAAGTTAACATGTTACCTTTATTTCAAATCATGTCCAAGTGCATATCAAAGATTGTGCATTCTCTGTTAGAAGTGAGCATCGATATTTACTAAGCACTTTGCTGCCAACACTGAAACTGGACTCCGAAGCAAAACAATTGTTATTGGTATACTCATGATATCACGTCCCATCATGGAAAGTATCGAGTAACATCCAATTTTTTCTCCAATGGTCCAAGATATCCATTTGCAAAATTGATGCGATCAAACTTGCTCTCCCATATAAGTATCCAATTCGACTTCTCAGTAGCACTAAAGTCACTCTTGTAGTGGTCAAATTCCTGCACCATTTAAATTGAAATTCAATAAGCAAAATTACAAAATAAACAAAACCTTATAATCACAAGAATATAAAAATATATAGGGTTGTAGTGACTTACACAAATATCATCTCTTAGGCTATTAGGACCACCAGTCTGTACCGAAGAGCCGGTGGAACTTCATTGCAATTAGGCCCTCGTAAGCAACAAAAAGCTTATCAACCCTGCTTGATCAACTCCAACTTTCTGTTGCAACTGTTGGGTCATCAACTTTTTTGTAACAAACTCAACAACTCAATTTGAAACGTGGGTCAAAATAGCTGCAATAGCTAACCACAATGCTATAAGAATCCCAATATTTATCAAACTTTACTTTCCTTTGATTTGCCATGGTACTAACAACTTCATCCTCATTCTCCATCTCTTCGTATAAACGCACTTGAACTCTCCACACATTTGTAAGGTACAAGTTTGCTGTGTATTTGGAAGCAAAAAAAGAGTAGTAATTTCATAAAATGGTTTCAAGAACCTGCAAATCCTCACTACCCCTTGTCTCATTCTTCATCTGAAGGACATATTTTATATTGGGATCTATCAATGACAAATGAACAAACACAAGATGGTATATTAAGCACTTTCAAGCATTAAAAAGTGGAATTCCATCTTGTGGGAACATCCATTCCAATCTTTTGAGCTTACATGCCAATTTGTGCAGTAAGTTCTTCAAACTTGATTCTTTTAGTCTCACTTCCTCTAACATATTTCACACTTTCTCGGATCTATGTAAAGCACACTACTAACTTTGACTCCCTTGGACTATGAGTTCAAGATATGTGCACAACATCGCACAATGAAAAAAAACCACACATAAAAAGCATTTTGCACACAAAGTTGACTCTGTAAAACGTCTTCCATCTTTTCATTATTACTGCATTGTCCAAAGTAGAGAAGACTTTCTTTCTAATTCCCCAATCTTTTAAGAAATCATACACGTTTATGACAAAAGAACCCTTGAGTGAGGAGGAATATGGCAAAATTGAGAATTTTACTTTGTAACTCCTAATTTCTCATCAACATAGTGTGCCGTTAAAGAAATGTACTGTCAGTCATACAGAACTCCAACTATTAGAATTCAAGCATATTCTACTAGAACCCTCTCTAAAACAAGCTTAATTTTTTCCTTCTCCCTTTTGTATATCTTTAAGCAATCCGCCTTTAGTGGTGTTTCCTAGTTAAGGCTTACTTCATGATTCAAATACATAGGACATCCCTAGTTCCTTCATGCTCCACTATTGAATATGGATAATTATGTTTAATAATTCCTATTGCCATCTTCTCACGATAAGTCTCTTGAGAAATCCTCAAACGTCACAATTTAGTATCTAATCAATCATTAATTGATCTACAGTAGAGAATGTATGTTTAGGACAAATTTCCATATGACACTTTATTTTTAGTCCATGAGTGGAACTACCATATGCATAGACTTACTACAAATAAAACACTTTGCCCTCTCATTCCCTTTCTCATACGAAAATGTTTCAAACTACCCCAAACATCTGAAATTTACGTTTTTTTTTGCACAAACAGTACCAGTACTAGAAAGGGGTTCAGCTACCTTATAGCCACTTTCTATCACCTAATTCTCATTTTCCTGTAGACTCCCTCCTTGCCAATCTAAAGGATAGTGAAATACTGAAAATATAAGCATAAATGTCCCAAACAACACAAATTATTTATATTTAACAACAAACCATAACAATTCATTCAAATATTCAAAAAAGAACACACTCCCAATATTCACAAGCAAACCAGCCCCACCAAATGGCTGGATTTTCCAACTCAACACTCCTCAACTCAACACAAAAAAAACCAGATTTAATCAACAAACCATAATAATTCATTCAAAAGAATAAAAAAGAAAACACTCCTAAATATTTCACAAGCAAACCAAACCCACCAAATGGTTGGATTTTTCCAACTCGGCACTCCTCAACACAACACAACACAAAAAAGACAGATTTAATCAACAAACCATAATAATTCATTCAAAAGAATAAAAAATAAAACACTCCCAAATATTTCACAAGCAAACCAGCCCCACCAAATAGCTGATTTTCCAACTCAACACAAAAGCAGCGAGCCCCTTGGTGGTTCTATACCCATGGTACTATCCAGTCCCATTTTTATTTCAATATAGAATAGGACTTGCCTGATGTAAGCCCTCCATTACATTTAATCAAAACACATTTAATATGTAATTCATCAATGTATGAAAGTTGAAATCTTCATTATCTCAACGTCTCTACTCAAGATTTACTTTTTGAAAAATCAAATTTCCTTTGAATTTTCTATCTGAGCATGTGATTCAATTTGCTATACACTGATTAATTCCAAGGATGAGAAATAAAAATAACAAGGCATGGAAAAGATGATCTTGTATTCTTGTACCAAAAGTAGCAAAACCACATCACAGATGATCTGACAAGAAATACCTTGCTTCAGTTATAGTCACAAATTGCTAGACCTTAAGAGAGTGCTACGCCTGTGTGAGACAACATGAGAGTGGGAGACATTGGAGCTGTTGGATGTAATACGGTGACCGTGAGAGTGAAGGAGATTGAGAGCTACTGAGTAGTACCATCGTGATTGTGAGATAGAGATTGAGAGTTGGTTGTGACTGTGAAGAGTATGAGCCAGTTTTCCTCAGCTTACCTGGAAATTCTTTACTTGAATTGCCCTTCAAAGAAAGGTTCTTCTTAATGTGACTTCGGTTAAGCAACAACATAGTATTATTACGTGGAGGTACAAGCAAAGCCCTTTCAACACATTCTCCTACCTGTCCACAGCCCCAAGGCCTTGACTGCCCATCCTCAAAGGACGGTCTAGGCCTTGAAAAACCATTTTTAAGCCTTGAAAAAACTTGTTGATCAGGGGAGTTTTCCTCTTGCAATCTGACACAAAGCGGGCAAGGAGGGTCACCTCTATGTGTCTTAGGTGTTGCCTGCTCCAAGCATTCTGCATGGAAAACATGACAACATGAAAGAACCCCAACAACTGGCATGTCTCCACTTCTCACAATCCTACGAGAACTCCAAGGTGATCTTTGTGAGAGAAATCGTTCACACAATCCACATTTGAAACCATCTGATGGAATATGTGATCGACCATAACTTTCAGACTCAATCGGCTCTGAAATATCAGCAAAGTCTGTGCTGCTACTGGCACTACTCCAACGAGGGGCCTCCCTTTGTGGAGTGGAAGCATCATAGTCTAGAAACAGGGTAGCTGCAGAGTTAGTAGTTTCTCTAACAGAAGGTTGGGCCAGAAAGGACAAGGGGTAAACAGGTTTGGACATAAAGGAAAGACGACTTGAAAAGTTGCGATGGGAGGATACACATGACTTGGCTTTCGGCTCAGACTCACTACTGTCTGAGTGAGATGATGTGGAGCCTCTGCTATCTGCATTTGCTGACATTCCCTAAAAAAATTTAAAGCCACTAAGGAATACAAATGACAGGAAACATATCAAATTAAAAGGAAAAGAAAAGACAAGGATAAAAGTACCTCAATGGTGGGTGTAAAAGAACATTGCCTAAGAACTGGATCTAACCAGAAAAAGAAGCAACAAAAAGTTAATACAAGTAAATGGAAACAACAATAATAGCAAAAAGGAAAATAATAATCGAGATTATTGGTTATTTTTGGCTAAAATCAGAACAGCAGCCAGATAAATGAACAGTTACAATCAATCTTAAATCCTACAATAAGATTTGGCTCATCATTAAAAAGAATGTAGAACTAAGAAAAAGTAAAGGGTAATATCACTTTAGGATTGTACATATATAAAACCATCTTCAGTAGACATCACAATCACTTACAACATAATATATTATTTCTTCTGTTGAAAACATGAGAATAATAAAATATGCTATCTCACCAAAATATTTCAAAAAGTTATTGTAGCAAAATATTGCCTTGTTTGAAATTAATGGGCATGTTTGGTAGATTATTTGAAAAATGTTATTCTGAAAAACTATTTTAAGTTTAGTTGAGTTGGATTAAATCGAATAGGATAAGATTCTGAGAATGTGTTTAATATAATATCTAAAAATTATATCAGAGTTGGATAAAATGCTGAATAGTTGTTTGGTACATTTTTGGGAAACATTTTCTGAAAATATTTAAATTATTTTTTAACCCCTTATATTTAAACCCCCCCCCCCCCCCCCCTCTTCTTTTCATTTTCAATTAACAAAATCTTATTCGATTCGGATTAATTTTTAGAATAATGATCCCAATAAATAAACAAACACATATTACAAACAGGGGCCATAGTTTTTGTTTCTTATCAAAACAGAAATAAGGTAAGAAGTTTCATCATCAAAACAATGGAAACTGGTACCTTCTTTGACTAACTGTATTCATGCAAGTTCACATTGCTAAAAAGAGTCATACAACAAGTTTAATAATCCTTGCTAATTAATGTTTTTTCAGAAGTTTTATGAACATAACAAAAGACACACTACCCAACACTGAGTCCATGGAAATATAAACATGAAAAGTAAAATAAATAAAAAAATTGTGATAAATGTTTCCAAATTTCATCTTAGTTTAGTACCTGAAGCAAAAAAGAAGAATAAGAGAAACCTTGTATATTGGATCAATGAAATCCTTTAAAATATTTTAGAAATTCAACCATGCCGAGTATTCCAACAAAGAGGAACAAAGCCATAATTATCCTTTCTTTCTCGGGGGTGTGGGGGATATTATAAGAAAGAAAAGTAGCACATAAGGGAGCAATAAAAAAAAAAATTATTTATTTATTTTGAGAATGAGGAGTGGTGCATCTATACATATATGTTTCTTAAAAAGAAAAAGAAGGCATTGAAAGTAACAAACAAAAAAAAAAAGCCAAATCCAAAATTCAGGAAAGAGTTTCTTGATCCATATCTATATGTAGTGCAAATCCAGTACAAGTCATTTTGCTTTCAGATTTATTTCTGGTATTTATAAATTATTTTTATTTATCTAATTATTTGTGTATTAATTTTAAAAGTTTAATTAACTTTGGATTCTCAATGTTCGGATTTCATTAAATTAATAAATAAACTTTTCTTGTTTTCGCAATTTCCTTTGTATTTTTTATATCCTTTACTCACAATTCCTATTCAACAATCCTAGTCATATTGACGATAGTGTATTGAACAAATATAATTTAATTGTAGATAATTTGATTTATTTATCTCTATCCCATAAGTTTGGATTTTTCTTTAATTCATTAGTGCCAAAATAAGGAAAAATCCAACATTCGGAAAATACATATATCTACACACGCTTTCAGAAAAAAAATTTCAAATTAGACACAGGGAAAATGATCATTAATGTCAACCCTGAAATACTTCAAACTTGTTACATCTCTTGTTAATATGTGATGCCTCAGCTTAAGACCTTATATAGATGCTCAATCATTTCCTAGATATTATAATACATCTAAACAAATATAAAAATGAAGCAGTATCCAGGTAGCAATAGAAATACCCTTGAAATTGAACATCAATAACAAAAAGATACAATAACCATAATACAATATTACCTCTCCTTGCTGGAGCTTCATAATTATCAATGCTGATTTCCTGTATTGTTGGAGGAGTCCACTGAGGAGCCTGTGAAAGGTCAGAAGGGCTACTTAAAAATAGCCCAGCACTATCAGATGCTGAATATTGATGACGATAAAGCTGATTGCCTCTCACCCAGTTCTTGCTTTCTTTACTCTTTGATGATGTAGATGATCCACACAACCGAATATGGTCATGTGAACCATATGGCAGCCCTTCACCTTCAGATTGAAAATGAAAATCCCATCGCGATGGAGGTGGTGAGAAACTCGAATTAGTTTGCCAATAAGGCTCATGCGGACCCATAGACCAGTCCCTACTGGTTGTGTTTGACCCATGTGGCCTTGCAGCCACACAACACAGCGACCCCGTCTTAGCTATTTTCTACAGCCCCCACAACTACAAGTCACGCTTGCTTTCACGTGCTACAAAGCTTGCAAGAGGAGCCAACTAAGAGCATACAAATTATAATCTCGAATACAGCTTTCCCATCATACATTACAATTATACACTGTGTAACTAAACAAATTCACCAAAACAAAAACCTAAATTCTGTCAACAAATAACTTAACACATCCAGCGTGCATATCTTTGGAAACAGTAGTAGTCATTGGATTCAGGAACACTGAGACCATAATATTTAAATGTAATCAGAAATTTAGAGGCTCACCAATGCCATAATCAATTATTAAGACTAATAAGCGAATAACATTAAACGAATTTTAAAGCTATAATAATTCAACTTAAAACACATAATCAGAAGACAAAAAAAGCAAATTTTTTTTTATAAATTATTACCAATAAGAGAGGTTAAAAGAAAACAAAGTGCGTTCAAAATCAGAATTAAAATTGACACATTTGTAGAGAATGAGTAAACTTACAGTTGCAAGTGAAGGGAACTGATGTTTGAAGAAAGAATTGAAAACCCTAATTTGCCGGGGAGGGAGACGACAGAGGGAGATTAATTTTAGTGCCTTTGCCCTTTTTACATTTATGCCCTTCAGTGTTACAAAAAGGAGAAGATATACAATCGATGGGAGACAGATTTTAGATTTTCATTTTTTTATTTTCTCTTACTACAAAACGTTATGTAATCCATAAAAAATGAAAAATTGAATAAATTTAGTATTAATTTAATTTTATTGACGAAATAATTTACTCAAATTAAACGTTTAATTTGTATTAAAAACTAATCAGGTAACTATATGAAATTTAATTTTACACATTTCAATTGAATTTAGTTTATTGAAGATAATCCATATCATATCAATTGCAAATTCTGAATTTATTAATTTAATTTAAGGCCAACTAATTATCATCTTATTAGAAAGTGCAAGTGAGTTGCTTGAAAAAGGTATTTCTTTTGAATAGTATAGAAAAACTATATTCTAATAGAATTATTGAATGCATAATCTAGAAATTTAATGAGAAGTTAATCATAAAAATATCGTGTGAAGTCTCTTTGGGCACATTCAAAAGATACTTATAAAATTAATTATAAGAAAATAATAATAACATGTCAAGAAAGTATAATTAGGTTGGTCGAAATGTCTTTTCAAGGTGGGTTTTCTTTTTTAATCAATTATAATTAGACAAATGAACAACTGTCAGCACATAATTACGTATTATACTTTGGTATGAAAGATAATGTGCCTAACCATAAATAATTCCATTAATATTGTGGAGGACTAGTAGCCCTGAATAAAGGACCTGAAATTAAATATTTGGTTCAACATACTTTGCAGTCGTCTATATTTTCTTTGAAGCAAAAAAATGGTGATATCCTATGCATATGGAACTCAAGCAAAGACTCAACAATCAACCAATTTTTTTTTTAAAATAAAAGTATGCAATTTAAGAATTAGAAATCAAAGAGAAAGAATCATGAGGCAAAGATAAGTAATGAGGTGGCACACTCGATGGTTGATGTTAAAGTGATTTGATGATTGCATCAGCTTCCACCCAACACAACAATCGATCTGACAAAATCAAGTACACTCTTAATAACCCTATACCAATCCGATTTGTGGGAAGACCTGACTCTACTTGATTTGTGGGAAGACTTGACTCAACCCCATTTTTTAGAAATGGATAGAGTTGCATTAACGGGTTGGTCACCAGATGCTTACCATTCAACCCTTTTAAAGGACTAAAAAAGAGTTGGCTTATAATATATCTTGTTGAGCCCTTATGTTTTTTTATGTGTTAAAATTAACCAAAAGTCGATTGCTAATTAACAAACATGCAAAGGTATGACAAGATGTCATAAGTAAGAACAAAAATGCAGTTTTCCCAGTTGGTGTGATCGTGTAAGACANGAGTTGCATTAACGGGTTGGTCACCAGATGCTTACCATTCAACCCTTTTAAAGGACTAAAAAAGAGTTGGCTTATAATATATCTTGTTGAGCCCTCATGTTTTTTTATGTGTTAAAATTAACCAAAAGTCGATTGCTAATTAACAAACATGCAAAGGTATGACAAGATGTCATAAGTAAGAACAAAAATGCAGTTTTCCCAGTTGGTGTGATCGTGTAAGACAACGAAACGACTGTTCCCACTTCCCAGTTTCATAGAGTTACTTAGATGAACGTTCATCACAGCATGATCATGTTCCATATGATCGTGCATTCTTTTGCCCAAAATGAAGTCAAATCGCTCGCAATGATAAGACCAAGTTGCACATTTGTTCCAACCAAGTCAAAAGTCAAAGTACTCAAAATCTTGAAGAACAAGCCATGAAGATCAAGTATTTCAAGTGAAACGAGCATGTCGCATGACCATTCCCACTCAAAGATCATTCTTGGCAGAATGTCATTGTTCTAGGAAGTCGTTCATGCTTTTAGAATTTTATGGATTTTTAAGAAGTTAATGGACCGATTGTTCCTCGTGGTGGAATGACCTTTGCGATGGTGGAACGACTATTTGTGATAGTGGAATGATCATTCCATAAACCTTAAAGTTGAGCAAAAGTATCTGTTATGTTGAGAATGACCATTCATGATGGTAGAATGCCTACTCCTCTAGGTACTGCAGCTTTTCAAAAGTGCATTAAATGCTTCAATGACTCTTTACTTTTAAAGGGAAGAGACAAGTAAAAAATAGAGCGTCTTATTACAAAGAAAGATAAAAAGAATATCAAAGAAACAAAAGTCTTATAAAAAACATTCTTACATAATGTCTTGAGCTAAAAATCCAAATAATTTATCACTCTCTTGTACTCATATTGAAAACCTTTGAGTGTATTATTCTTATTGTGTGTTTAAGCCTAGTTTAAGAGACAATCATTCAGAAGCTTTTATTCAAACATCTTCTAGGCAAAATCCTATAAATCTAGAGGTGAAATTTTGTCAAACTATTATAAGAAGCGAAATCTTGTCAAACTAGTGTAAAAGGCGCAACCTGATTCTAGTAGAACTTCAAGGTGGTTACCTTGAAGAAGTGGATGTAGGAAGCTTGCGGATATAGCTCTGAACCACTATAAATCTCTGAGCATTTCTTCTCTCTTAACTCATTTATTATTCCTTACATATTTACTTGAACATCATTATTATTTGCTTTCATTCATTGCTCATATTTATTACTCTCTCATTTATTGCTCACCATTGTTTATCTTCATTGTTCATAATCATACTCATTTATTGCTTATCATTGTTGTCATTTTATGTTCTTAATGTGTGTGGTTGGTGAAAGTTTTTATTCTGCAATTATTTTTATAGATTCTTATTCACCGCCCCTCTAGGAATAGTTTGCCATATAGGGTTTTATATATCTCCATTTATCTTTTACCAAGAACCCATTAAACAAAAACACTGCAACCATTTTACCTAACAAATGATGCGCTTAAATGACGCATTTTTCCTATAAAACGGTCAGCCTTAAATGATGTGTGACCAACAACGATTTATGTGTCGTTGTTGACTCAAAATGACACGTTTTTTGGATAGAACGACAAGTATTTTTGCGTAGCTTTAAATCGAATTTTTGGTAGTAATAACTAGTTAAATATTCTAAAATTAACATCATTATTAAAACTTTAACTATATAGTTATGCCACATTATTGGTATACATATTGCTTGTATGAATTTGAAGTTTGTGAGAGGAAAACATGTTGAAAACACAACCAAAAACACAAAATAAAGAAAAATATAAAAGTAAAGAGAAAACACAATTTACCCTGATTCGTTCCAATTAAGGAATTACGTCTAGCATTCAAATAGAGGATTTTTATTGAGTATCAGAAATTTGCAGCAAATACAAAGTAGATGATGGCAGTTCACTCTCATTCCCTATTTTTTTTCACACTCCAGGTTTCTCACTATTATAGAATATATATAATAGAAAATCTAACCCCATTTGGGCTTACCTTGACCCAGACCCAAATATTAGTAAACCAATTCTAAACCCAATTACTAATTGGGCTTACTGTGGACCTCACTTGGGAACGGGACCCCCGAATGAGTAGTCATAAGTCGATAATCTGTCAAAGCTAAGAGAAGTATAAACCATGTCCAACAAAATCAGCTGCCACTAGACCTGACAAACAGGCGGGTCGGGTAGTTGTGGGTAACGAGTAAAACAGTTACAGGTAGTCGGGTAAAATTTTGGAACAGGTAAAAATATGCATGACCCGTACCCACTCGTACAGGTACGGGTGGACCCACGGGTTACTCGCAAAAAAGGAATTTTTTAAAAAGTTTGCTTTTCCAATTTTTGTTATTCAATTTTCAAACATTAAAATGTATATTGGTTTAATTTGAAAACTTGGTATAAAATTCCTTTATAAGGCTTTCAAAACTTGGGTTAATTTAATTAAATTTCACCAAACATCATTATCAACATTGTCATTCAACAATCAACATACATATTATTATATTAATTACTAAACAACTAAATACAATACAATTTCATCATCAAATTGATTTCACCAAACTTGAAGCACATATCAAAACAATAACCCAAAATTCTATTACTTCAATTCAAATACATTTAAGATTTAGCAAACATAGTAAGCAAACTTCATAATATTACTTCAAAAATAAAGACAATTGTTCAAGCAAATTGATGAATTCTATTACACAATGGCTGTGTTAGAAGACTCCCTCGATTCCCTAATCGCTGCTTGGGTTAATGGCACAAGAAGCTGATCATCATCATTTTCATCTTCTACAATTAACAAAATTTAAAACATTTGAAATATAAGTTAACTATCTTAATATATTAACAAACTAAAATAATAAAACATGTGAAATATAAGTTAACATGTTACCTTTAATTTCAAATCTATGTCCAAGTGCATATCAAAGATTGTGCATTCTCTGTTAGAAGTGAGCATCGATATTTACTAAGCACTTTGCTGCCAACACTGAAACTGGACTCCGAAGCAACAATTGTTATTGGTATACTCATGATATCACGTCCCATCATGGAAAGTATCGAGTAACGATCACAATTTTTCTTCCAATGGTCCAAGATATCCATATTGCAAAATTTGATGCGATCAAACCTTGCCTCTCCCATATAAGTATCCAATTCGGACTTCTCAGTAGCACTAAAGTCACTCTTGTAGTGGTCAAATTCCTGCACCATTTAAATATAGAAATTCAATAAGCAAAATTACAAAATAAACAAAACCTTATTAATCACAAGAATATAAAAATATATAGGGTGTAGTGACTTACACAAATATCATCTCTTAGGCTATTAGGACCACCAGTCTGTACCGAAGAGCCGGTGGGAACTTCATTGCAATTTAGGCCCTCGTAAGCAACAAAAAGCTTATACAACTCCTGCTTGATCAACTCCAACTTTCTTGTTGCAACTGTTGGGTCATCAACTTTTTTGTAACAAAACTCAACAAACTCAAATTTGAAACGTGGGTCAAGAATAGCTGCAATAGCTAACACAATGCTATAAGAATCCCAATATTTATCAAACTTTACTTTCCTTTGATTTGCCATGGTACTAACAACTTCATCCTCA